AGAGAGAGAGAGGCAAGGCAAAATGTAATTATTTAATGATTTTGTTGATTGTTCGGCGACATAATAATTAAATGTTAAGTTTTGTATCGTTTGTATTTATCCCCGCAGCGTAATCAGCAGAGTAATTGAGATTAAACATTGTTCTTTTCATTTACCATAAAGTAACATGCTCGGTGTCACATGCAGGCTTTTTGTATATCTACAATCCTATCTATCTATCATCTATGTCCATCTTCATTTCCTTTAATCTTTCTTTCTCTAAAAGATTTTTGGCAAAACCATGTAACCGCGAAGCGCCATGTTCTCTGGCTCTGAATTCAGAGCTCCAGTAACGAGTAGTGTCGAGGGAATTCTGACCATCATGCAAGTCTCTTTGTTTATTACATCAAATGGAATATACCGACTCGTGGAGCCGCAGGACAGAAGCCCTCCCGACGCACACGGACGGGGGGCCGGGACACTGAGGCTCCTTCGACCCCCGGGAGCGAAGGATAAGCCTTGGAAGGAACACGAGAGCGAAGGGCGGGTCTCGGCAGGAACGCGGGATCACAGGCGAGGGATCCAGCTGCCCTCCACGTGCACCTGCAGGGCCATCAGCTCCGTGTAGTTGTTCCCTGGCACGAAGTCCGACCAGACCACCTTGTAGACGCCGTAGGGGGTGCTGCGGTAGTAGTACTGGTCGTAGTGGTGGTCGGTGCTGCAGTCGGTGATGTAGTCGGCGTCCTGGTGCCCCGTGAAGCTCAGGTCCTCGTAGATGATGAGGCAGTTGGTCACGTGGCCCGTGAAGTGGTGGGTGACCCCGTGCCACGTGTCGTTGAAGGCCATGGGTCGCGTGACGGAGAGGGTCACCTGCGAGGAGGGAGAGGGAGGGGGTGAGACACTCAGGACACAGAAATAACGAAAGGATAACAGGTGTTTGCTGGAAGATCTGCTGGATGTTGATGATTAAAAAAAAAGAACTATAAATGTATCTAAACCCAATTATTGGGCGTCACTTACCTGAGACAAATCAAGCCCCTCCAGGTACAGGCGGATTCTGTCTATGCGAACGCGGTCCGTGTAGCCGAGCTCAGGACCCCACCAGTCACTCAGGGCCAAGTGGGCGATGCCTGCGGAAATTAGGGTGCGTTACCAGGGGCTCTCTGTCTCTTCCTAGTGGCCCTATATATCTATTTGGTAAAGGACTCACTTGTTTTAATTTTGATTTGCCTACGGAAATCAGGATCGAACTAGGAACCAGATACCTTCAGAAACTCCCTGTCTCTGCCTAATGGTCTTACATAAATTGATCTTTATTTGTTTTTCGGTCAAAACTGGGATTATTTTTCAGGTTTTCTTGGGACTGGAGCGAAAAATGAGAATCAAAACTTGGTACTATAATTGTTTTTGATTAGATGGGATTCTTCCCGGTATAGCACATCCAAAAACATTATTTGTGGAACCCTGTTTAATTGTAATAAAAATAGACTAAATGTAACTTACATTACTACCTTATCTACTGTATAAACTGTGGTGAATAGGCCAAACAAGGTAAATATATATATATTTTTTTGTGAAACCTTAAATGAATCCGTAGGATTAGCAGGATGGAGGATTTGGATGAGAGGAAGCAAAGTATTGTGGCAAAAATAAAATCACTAGTTGGAAAGAAAAATAGAAACAAGAGTAATGACAACATAGAGCCCCCCCCTCTCTCTCTATCTCTCTGCACACGGAATGAAAAAGAGAAAAGGGGAGTGCCAGTGAAGAGGTAGATGGAATGAACAGCAAAAGACCCAAAGGAGAAAGAGTTATCGAAGGACAAAGCAAAAGAACAGAATTTTTTAGAACATGGTCACAAAACACACAAACTTCGAATTCTTATAAAAGCCATTTCTTGAAAGGATATTCCAACCACCTTTAGTCCCCCTTTTTAGAACCAGTTACTCCTTATGTCTTTGTTTTGTCTGTTTCCAAGATCAGACTCAGTGGACTCAATTCCCATACTTTGCACAGGTGAGATAACCCGAGACATTACCTGTGTAGGCCAGCTGCGTGACGGGGCAGCGAGGGTCAGCGGGGTCCTCGCAGCCCCCCTCGTCGAACACATTGAAGGTCATTGCGAACGGCTGAGGCGGAGGGTCGAGAGATCCCACGGCGTCCAGGGCCAAGACGTCCAGCTGCCTGAGCTTGTAGACCATCGTGTCGTAGTCATCCCAGTAGGACGCGTGGATAGGACACTCCTTCATGAATGTGTAGAAATAGGCGTCGCAGTATTCCCCGAGGACGTTGAAGGCGGCCATGAGGTCCACCCGGTTTTTGAGGTAGAGCTGAACCATGAGCTTGGCAAGAGCCACGTTCTGGCCTACCATGTAGTCCAGGTAATTTTCCTCTGTTAAGTATGCATCGCTGAGCAGTTCGTTGGCCTCGGCCAGGCTCTGCTGACTGGAAGCAACGGCTGCCATGTCGTCCTCCACAACGCTTGCTTGCTGGTTGATGGATATGATGAGGTTTGCAAACACTCTGATGTGCTCACTGAGTGACTCGCTCTTGACTATGAGGTCGAATATAGCCATCTTTAGCTGCCTCACGCCGTCCACTGCGTCGGACAGTTCCTCATCATCCAAAACAATGCCGCACGTGTCGCGGGCTTCTTGCCACTGCAGCCGCCCCACCGTCTGGTTAGTTACAACTTCTATGATCTCCTCTGTGTCCTTGAAGGTGTCCAGCCACACTGCCATGTCTTCGCTGGACGGAGGTCGGGAGGAGCCAGAGCCACGATGGCATTCACTTGGTTCATAAGCTCACCCAGAGATATGATCATACTGCGATTTCACTCTCGTGGCCTGCCCAGCTGCCTATGAAGTCCCCAACATTCATAACGGTATCGATGGCGAAATCGGTTATATTTGTGATGTTTTTAGATACGTCTAAGCCCCCTTTCACGGTGATGGTGACCAAGGAAGCATAGTCGAGGAAAGTCAAGAAACGCCTGCGCCTCTTGTAGGCCTCTAAGCCCTTCTTGACCCTCTCCTCAGCGGCTTCAACTTCTGCCTTGCTCTCCTCAACCGAATTGTGAGTTATTGTTACTGTATTCCACATCACGGTCGTTTGCTGGTACAGGTTATCCAGCTGGTTCTCGTGCGCACCCATGGTGGCCTGCGCTTTGTCTACTGCCAATTCTGCGCTAGACTGAATCACTTCCAGGTCCGCCTTCCGCTCGCTGAGGCCGATTCGTGTGTCGAACATCCTCTGGGCATTCACTTCTAACTTGAGCTTCAACTTATCCATGGCATCCTTGTAGAGCTCCAGGTTCTCGGTCAGGTAGCCCACCATATCAGCGTAGACCGGCACAGTCAGGTAGGGTACTTTCCGTGTAGGTGAGCGCTTTTGCTGCTTCATCTCCAGTTCCTGCTTGGCTTTCACAGCCCTCTGGTTGATCCCAACGAGGCTTGCGTCTTGCCAGTCTGTGGTGATGTTGGCCACGAAATCTATGATGCCATAAGCGAGCTCTGAGTGGGCAGCTTCATCACTTTCCACGATAGCGTTAGCGCAGTAGAGTGACAGCCACAATTGAGATGCTTTCACCCAGCTCTCAGCCTCGCTTGTCCAGTTCGAGAGCGGTTTGCAGTCCTCCAGAGGGTCAGCATCACCTTGGAGCAGGACGACCGTGACCAGACCATGCTGCAGCTGTTCCACGGTCATGCTGCCAACCCGCCCTCGTGTGTGCATGGGCGTGTAAAAACTTGTATCAGCTCCAGGTGCGTGGGCTGACAGAGTGGTCGCCACAAGCAGAGGGTTTTCAAGAACTATTTTTCGGGCAATAATTGTGAGTGGGAAAGTAATTGGACTCAGTGGCCCTGTCAGCACCACAGTGTCAGCTCGGAGAGTCACGGACTGCGTTTCTGCTGATGTGTACCTGGGCAGCTCTACCAGATCGAAAAAGAAGGTCTCGATGACAAGTTCCGTACTGTGGCGGGAGTACAGGCGGTAAGTCTCCGTCACGTCCACGCCTTCGGGCAGACACTGGAGAGCCTGCGGGGCCTCGCCAATCAAGGGAGCCAACTCTGCCCTGAACTGAATCTCCGTCTGCCCTGAACTTGCAGCCATAGCGGCCTTACTGAAGGTCAGAGGCTCATCAAGGACCGAACAGTCTACTCCTGACCTGCCGTAAGGTCGACAAGTACTCACATAGGCGTAAAGGCCAAAGGTCTGGCAGGTAGCCGCTTCTTCTTGGGACGATGCCCAAAAACTTGTGAAATTGTAAAGGTCTTGTTGCAGAACGTTTCCGAAGGGGGCTGTGAAGGAGCAGGGTACTGTGTAGAAATCATTAGGATAAACTAGTACTGTCAAGTCATTGTCTTTGACATTTGGGCTGAATAAGGACAAAGGGAGATCCTGTAAGCCATTGTTGTAAGCTGAAAATTCTGACAACAGGTCATTGTTAACCAGCAGATCTTCCGGCAATCTTAAGGGCATTGTTAAATAAAATCAGGTGTCTAAGGTTTACAAGTTTTGAAAATGCTCGTGGATGTATGTAATGTATATCATTCATCCCCAAATCTATTCTCTCAAGTGTCTCGTTCAAAATTTCGAAATCGGCTTCCAGGATTTCTGTCACATTATTATTGAGTAACTGTACTCCCTTTGTTTGAGGGTACATCGTGAAGCATTCAACGGGAATTTTTCTGAGTTGTAAGTTTGTGCAATTCAGGTCAAAATAAGTTGCATCGTAGGTGCACGGACACTCTGAACTTTGCAAGGAAGTTTTGGTTATTAAGACCTGATCCTCGGGGAGTGGGAGGAGCGAAGGTGCGCCATATTCCCCGAGTCCGTCGCCGCCAACGAGGCTGACCACGCCCACCAACACGACACTCAATATCTGGAGGAGGAGATACAACTCAGCGAGGGAAAGGATAAGGGAACAATGTGTGCATATCAGAAGTATTTGTGCGGTAAGCTGAAAGTTAAAGGAGAAAGGGAAAAAGGTACGGTTGAAATTAGCTTGTTTGTCTCTCCTGTTAATGTCCTTTCTGATCGATCAGTCTTACTTTTTCTGAATGGAGAGGAAAATAAACGATAAGGAACGACATCGAACGCAAACTTACACCCTGAAGATCCGATAGAATCGCGCGCGTGTGTGTGTGTGTGTGTGTCTGCGGAGAGGGGCGTCATTTTTGTTTTCATTAACATATATCCGAAAGCTCTATGAGGATGAAAGTCGAAAAATAAGAATTAATCGACTTTTATATGAAAACTGCGTTCCAGGTCCTGCGTCGCGTGAGTAAATCGCCATGCAAGAGTGACTCCCGAAGTAGGTTTCAGAAAAAAAAGAAAAAGAAAGAAAATACCCGTAGCACCAGATACCCAACAGATCCTCAATGACCCCCGAATCCTCAGCGGATCCTACGACCAAACCTTAACCGAGACATGCCCCTCGGTGCCGCTCCTCCCCTCCCCCTCCCCCTTCTTCAGAGACTCACCTTGCAGGGAGCCATGGCTGTTCCACCGCCCGCGCCTCCCCGTCACCGAATCGCAGCCGAACTCCAGGCACCGCGCCCTTTATCTGGCCTCCCTGGGAAACCGGGCTCGGGCTTGGGAATTCACAGCTGGTGTATGTGCTTTTTTTTGCGCTCTGTTTTCATGTATGTATGTCAGCTGAGGATGGATACTTGAAGCCATGTTTTCATTTTCTTTCACGATATTTCAATGTCATTATTTACCCTGGAATGACTTGTTTTAATTGGATATGTGTACAGTACTTTCTTGCCTTGATATCCCAGTAGAATACCCTTCCACTGCGTTCTTACTCACGTTTAGTCGTTGCACAGAAGGCGTGTCAGGAGCCCCATCGCGGGACGGAGTGGGCGGAGCCAACGCGCGGGGAGAGATATAAAGCCGCTCGGGAGACGCTGCGGCCAGTCGACAAGGAGGCGGAGAGAGAAAGGCATGTCGGTCCGTCGTCTGCAACTGGTAGGTCGACTTGTACATCTGGGAACATGGTGTATACATGAATACAAAGATATATATATATATATATATATATATATATATATATATATATATTGATATGTATGATATGTATAAATGTATATTAATATATATATATATATATATATATATATATATATATATATATATATATATATACATACATACATATATATGTATATATACATACATATATTATGTATATGTATATATATACATACATATATATATATTTTTTTATACATTCTATCTATCTATCAATCTATCTATCTATCTATATATGTATATATATACATATAGAAATATACACATGTATATATGTATATATATATAGATAATGATATAGATATAGATATAGATAGACGTATATGAATATATATATATGTATATATGTATGTATGTATGTATGTATGTATGTATGTATGTATATATATATATATATATATATATATATATATATATATATATATATATATATAATAGATAGATAGATAGATAGATAGATAGCTTGATCTATATGTATATATAATAGGTATGTGTTAAGTTTATCATGAGTATTCAAAACCAGATGTTTACCATCGCAATATATGCGTTTTACCATTTTTTAACAGTACGCTGTTTTTATATAACGATAGTGTAAACAAATAGCATGAAACTGTTGATAGATAGTTTTCTCACGTAATAAGACAGTATGAGAATATGGAATTCTCTCTCTCTCTCTCTCTTTTTTTTTTTTTTAGGGGGGGGTGTAGGGTGAAGCTTGGTGTTAGATGCATACTTTAAAATATTTTAAGATATCTTCTTTGCCAGATATTATCCATAAACTTTGACCAGACTATGTAGTTTACTCTTTATATTCATTTTACGACTTAATAAAATTTTTAGCCTCTGTAGTATTTTAGATATTGATGTTTCGTTTCTCTTGTGTGGAAATCTAAACCAATATTTTCTACTTTCATACTTCGCTGTAATCGAATTTTTTCTTCAGCTTTTGAATTTTAAAATTTAGGCATCGCGGTTCAAGTGGCTTTTAGATATTAGCCGTCAATTCAAGGGACTTTCCCTGTCCAGCTCAGATGTATGAAAATACCTCATTTACATGTGTGTGTGTGTGTGTGCATGTATATAAGAGTGTGTTCCTATGTAATGTGAACACGAGAATATAACATCCGCAGTGTGTTTCTCCCGTAGATGCGAGCGTTTCTGCTGGCGTGCCTGGCGGGCGCCGCGGCCGCGACCTGCCCCTGCGCTTGGGATCCCTCGGCGAGCAGCCTGGCCTGCGGGGACCTCGGCCTCACGGAGGTCCCCACGGCCTGCTTTGACGCGCACCCGGGCGCGAGGACTCTCAACCTCACCAGCAATGAAATAACGCAACTCAGACGAAAGGACTTCAGCGGCAATGTCGATAACCTGGAAGTCCTCCTCATCGACAACAACCCCGTCAGCATGTTCTATCCTGACGCGTTTGCAGAGCTTGCTAATCTGCAGGAAGTCAGTATCCAGACCACCGTGTTTGCTGCCATTTCATCCAGGCCTTTTCAGGAACAACCCAAAGCTGAATAAGTTTGTTTTGGGAGGCATGCTGGTCAGGCTGCCGCTGGAACTGTTTAGCCCAAATCTCACTGCCCCTTTGGTATTCGACCTGTCACGGTGTTTCTCCAATCAGGTCGTCCCATGCAGATTACTTGCTGATCTACCAGAGGGAAGTGAAGTCGTGGCAGAAGTGATCTTTTGGGCACAGACGCGGGCAGACGAAGAGATCTGTAAGGGTTTGAATTGTCTATTCATATACGACCCAGTGTTACTTTCACAGACGCGTTGTTGATTGTTCCAACCTGCCGGAGATATGACGCCAGTTACGGCAGAGTTAGCATGAGAAGAGTTTGCAAATAATGACAATTATGTTCCGCCATATTTAACATTCCCCTCAGCTTTCCATGAACTGTTGGGGGAAGTCCCTGACGATTTCGATTGTCTGCCTGGGGGAGTTGACAAATCTGGGATTTTCAAAAGTATTATCGGAACACGGAGCACGTGCAGCTAGATACCTTGTATTTCGACTTGGCAGATCTTCATCTGTTCACATCAGAAATAACACAGTCTGTAAGTATCAGAGCAGACACTGTGGTACTCACCAGGCAAATCACACTCGTTTATCTGCTAAACATTTCAGCACGAAGGGTAGTTTTTCGCTTTCCGATTCACTCCTATGCAGACACATCAGTGCACAGTCCCTCAACAGACGGAGATTTCTTCACCCTCTCGCACGAATTTGGCGAAATCAACGGCGTGATCGTCGAAACGTTCCGTCATGGAAACGTGCAGGTCACTCTGCTGGGCTCCGAGGCCAAACCTTGCACGAGTCCAGCTGATGTGACTGACATTCTGCCGGAGAGCACAAGCTTGACCCAGCTCGACCTGGCAGTCCAGTGCAGTGTGAGTCTTCTGGACAGGGATGAGCAGGCGCTCACGGCAGCCCTTCAGATTTCGTCCTTGGCAGAGGTTCTGTCTGCCGCTAGTCCCGTCGGCGGCATGGGGCAGGTGAGAAGCAGGGCTGCCAGCGTCAGGAACTTCGCTTCCTCTCGCCTAAGCAAAAGCAACGCTAGTGAGCCCCTTCCTGTCCCGTACCTCTCTCTCAGCGTGTATTCTGACATGGTAGATGATCTTGCGTGGAATGTCCAGTTCTACAAAGACACACTTGACAAACTGAGGAATAAATTGGAGCAGCAGAGCGAAGCAATGTTTGACCTGAGCATGACATTCGAGGAGCGTCATGCAGACCTGGAATTCGTCTACCAGGAGTCCCAGACAGCCCTTACGCAAGCTCAGAGTGTGTTCGGAAGCCAAGAGAACCACCTCAGCAACCTTCGCTCGCATGCAGACTCAGTATATGGACTGGTCTTTGATGTCTACGCCAAGTTTTCAGAAGCTGCCACCAGGTACGAAGCAGCGTTTGAAGACTTCAAGGACGGCATCAGAAAGGCGAAGGAAAGCGCGTTCATCCGAGGTTGTCTCGGCATCTTCACGACCATTGGAAAGTGCTACATGCAAAAGGAATATCCGAATCCAGCAGAGTGTGAATTCCATCTATCAAGCAAGTGACTTTGTGGACGAATTCGATGACATGAAAGACGAAATGCAGGAATCTATGCTGCTGATAAATGACCTTATGAGAGATGTAATGGACATTATATCGAAGTTGGAGACCTTGGATCCTCCTGAGGGCGATGCCGGGACCGACTGGGCCGCTGCCTTCCCTGACACAACGCAGCTCCTCAGTGCCGCTCAGAGGCAAGACGCTTTCTCTTTGTGACTTCTCCTTCCACATTTATCTTCAACATTTATCTTGGTATTTATTCCAGTAATTATGAGCAAATATCATTTCCCAAGGCAGACTAAAACACCAAACACACTCCTCATTTCACGTGTTGATGCCCCACAGCCAGATGGTGTCGAGAACGCAGTGGGACGTCAGCACCAGAGGAGCCACTATACTGCTTGATGACAGCGATATGAAGCAGGTACAGTGTCCTTGCCAATACCATCCTAACTACTGCCTGAATAAAGCACTGAGGAATTGATTACCATTATTATTACATTTTGCTATGATCAGCATTATAAATTATATGGTTTTATCTACACTGTAAACATTTTGGTTAGTATTCTTGTTCTTGTGTCCTGAGCCTCCGTTGAGTGACCTGGTCGTCCATACGCGCTTCAGTCGTCTGCCTCACCGTGGGCGATCTGCCATCCACACCATCCACAAAAGACCTTAAATCCCTTACGTATCTTAACCGCAGCCACTAACCACTGACTGGCCTGGCGCCCTTGCCTCTGCCCTTACAGGTCTCGGGTTCGAGGCAATACAGGGCCTCCGTGCTGGAGCTGGCCGAGTGGGGGAAGAGGTTCAGCGAGAAGGTGGTGTCCTTCGCGCAGCTCATCCTTCAGATCAAGGACGAGGAGGAGAACCTGAAGGTTTTTACTATTACTTTCACTATTGTTTTTTCTGTTTTCTCGTTGTTATCATTATGTTCTTTTGTTATTGTTCATAATATCAATATTGTTATCATTATCAATATTATCATTATCATCAATATCATTATCATCATTAATATTATTATCATTATCATCAATATCATTATCATCATCATCAATATTATTATCATTATCATCAATATTATCATTATAATCATTGTCCTTGCCATTATTACTATTATCATCCTTATCATTATATTTCTCTCGCGTTTTGACTCGTTTGGGCTTTCAGCTTTCCGGTGATTCACTTGTATCCTCGTCTTATTTGATGTAAACTGAAGCATTCTCCCTCTCTCCCTCGCTACATATGTGTATGTGCATTTGTGTGCAGGCCATCAGATTGGTCTTCTCTTCCACTGATGTCCATACCTGCAGACTGGTGAGATCTTCCTTAAGCTACTGCTCAAACTTCAACAGCGGCTTTCCTCCTGCCGACAGTCTCACTTCCCACACCCTCCGCCTTCTCCCCTATGCCGACCACCCCTCGCATAGACAGCCTGATCCTTCGACCTGTCCTAACCTCCTTTCGCTTCTGTTCTCCTGTCCTCACCTGCCTAATGTTAATCGCATTGCCTCTTCTTTCTTTCTTTTATATTCCTTCCTTTCCTCTTACCCTTCAGACCTGAAGATGGATTCCAGGAGGATTCCGAAACTGTCGTCTCATTTATTTCAATAAACCTAGTTTGTGTATTGTGGTTTTTCCAACATAATATATATATATATATATATATATATATATATTATATATATATATATATTATATGTATATATATACATACATATATATGCGTGTGTGTTTATGTGTCTGTATAGCAAGTCTCCCCCGGGACAGGTGGCCGCCCTGGGCGTCCAGCATGCCAGCGAGAAGGCCGACGCCGTCGGCCAGATGATGGCCACATCCGAGACCAACGAGGACAACTACCTGTCGGTGCTGAATCAGCAGAATCTGGTCATCATGGGTCTGATGCTCGACTTCCATACGAGGGCCCGCGCGGACATGCTGGCTATGGCCCGTGTCCTTGACGAGTTCTGCCAAGCGTACCGCTACAATTTCTTCACCGATTGCACCCAGTCCAGCAGGCCGACGCCAGCGGATGACTACGACGCGATCCTCTTGAAGCTGAGCAAGCTCCAGGTCGGCGCCCTCGACTCCCTCTCCAGCCTCACGCCTCCACCGCAGCCCTTCAAGAAGACCTTCGACATCGTTGAGAGTCCTTCATGCAACGGGGCTCTCAGCAGCTGCCCTGTGTCCTCCCTCAGCTCCACGGGCGTCGCCACACTCGTCCTCAGCGACTGGTGGGGTCTGAGCTGGACTTCTTCGACCGCGTCCGCATCGACACACTTCAGGTGTTCCTGTCGGGCGCCTCAGTACCCCTCGACACAAGCGTCATCCTTGAAGTGACTCAACCCGCGGTATTCAATGACACGTTTACGGGTCGATCGACACCTTCACTGGCCACGTCACGCGCTGCCTAGTCATGTATCGCCAGGAGATTCCTGATGGAGATATCAACGATGCTGTCTTCCTGACGGACTGCTCGACGCATCACTTCTACGATAGCTACTACACGAGGTCGACGCCCAGGGGTCTGTACACCGTCACTGTCGTCAGTCCTGATACAACTTGACCCTCCTTCAGAAGCTCCAGATCCACGTCGAGGGGTCCTGGATGCCGCACGCCAAAGCGTCAGAGGGAGAGGACCCTTTCGCGTTCACTACGGAGGGACACTAGAGGGGGCTCTGGTGCCTAAATACTGCCAATGTGTGAAATCTAATAAAGCATAAAACTATCCCAAAACTGACCTTTTTAGAGGGATATATTACACTATGTGACATTGTGCCAGAGATGCATCAAGGATGGGTTCCTCTGCTAATTTAGAACTTAAACTTCACTGGTTATAAACTATATAAAACATCGTAGTCGTGATAACAATGACAGTCACAGGAAATTCCAAAGTAAATCAATTAAAAATATATCCATATCATATGGATCATGGTACAACATTCTGTTATGAAAAACTAAAAAGGTTCAATGTAGGTCTCAGATCTCAGTGTTTTACTTAAGTTTGGATTGCAAATAGAGCAACAAAGGGAAAAGCAGAAAAACGGGTTTGGATAAAAGATAATTCTCGGAAGAAAAAAAAAAAAAAAGATTTGGCAAAAGTCTGTACTACATTCTTTTTATCTTCATGCTCCCACAACTAATAGATTCTTATTTCGCATCTTCGACGAAATCACTGAAACCCCTTTCTAAATTGAAATAAAATAAAGATATTAAACTTCTGAAGTGATACTTTCTTTTCTATTTCAACACAAGATTTTGCAGATACTTGAAAGTTGAAATATATTTTTAGGAATTCCTACATTTTTCTTCTGAGGTCATGCCCCTTCCCAAGAAATTACCCTCCTTGAGAATTACCCCTAAGAAAAGAAAAAAGTAAGAATGAAGGATACAAAAATATATTATATGTGTTTGTGTGTGTTTGTGTTTATAT